TTTGCATTGACAATTCTTTGTACTGATTCTTATCATTTATCAGCGACCGTCATTTCTTTAGTAGGAATCGAAGAGGTTGGTTTTATTTGACCGCATTTTTAAGCAGAAACTTTGATTGTTAAGTTGTTTACCCACGCCTTTTGAGCATTCCTTATTTCATCTTAGCTAACTTGACGGAGCCAGGTTTTGAGACAGGTTTTATCCTCTTCTAATGCATATCTTTTTTGATGCATAAGTAAGTAGGTCTGATTCAATTTTTTCCTGAGTCTACAATCACCTTTAGTGCAAATTAACACTTTGGGACTGGCGATTGACGTATCTACCATAAGTTTACGCTGTTTGGGCAACCACAAAATTGGAATTACTTGCAGATTTAGCCATCTACGGTCGATGGCTTCTCTATTTTGTCTTTTGACCAATCATCCAAACCAACATGAGGGACTCAAGTGAGCAAGTATTGGAATTTTTAAATGGAGAAGGTTCCGAATAATTGAATAGGTGCTGCTTGAATGTAGCACAATGTCATCATTGGAAAGAGAATGGTGGTGAAAACTGCAATATCCATTCCACTGCATAAATACTGGTCTTTAATAAAATGGAATTACGTGATGCATAACCACCAAAATAAAGATATATTGAAAGCGCTGTTAAGCAAGCATGTTTCTGCCACATTTATCGTCTTTCTGGTAGCACAGATGGGAAAAGCAGCTCCCGTTATTACCGGTGTCGTGATTAAAAAGGTCCATAAAACATCAGGTATAAATTAAATGAATAGAAGTTTTTGTTGAATGGACTGAGTCACACTTGAAAAACACTCTGCGGTACACAGGTATGGAGAAGGGAGAGGGGCTACGGCCACGAGCCTAGCGTGGAAAGGCCGGAAACCCAAAATACGGAAAATGGACAGTCTGGCTAAATGTTCGATTACCTAACTTTCTGCCGATTCAAGTTTCGTACTCCTCATTTACCATGGTCACTCTTCTGACCTTCCGGGCCAAAATGCATTTTATTCCAGCATCATTGATGCTCCTAGTTGATATTGACCAGATCCACACATTCGTCCTCCATGTAAACTACATTGCAGGATATTGTAAACTTTGAAATGCTTCACAGTGTATGCATTTTAAATGCCAGTTACTATTTGTTTAAATGCCTTCCTAGATCCAGAACTATTGTAGCTTTACATGACCAGTAACTACCGATCTTTCTGCCTTTGCGCCTTTGTCTTTTCCCAGCGTTTCCTAACTGTTAATCCAAAGTTTATTTAGCCCTGAAATGCAGGAAATATATCACTGTAAACTTTCGCAAATCATTCAAATTTAGTGTTGCTTCCATTTTTACTTGCCCTAGTGCAAAAAGACAAGAATTGGACATTGTTAACACCTTTATTGTGCATCCCAACGGATTCAACTATCGGCGTAGTGCGCCAACCTCTGCGCTTTTTGGCAATAAAGACTTTAAATTTGTGATTATTGGTAGCACTAGCCAGATTCACTTCCCACTGCCACCAATGTGGGGACCCTGAGCTAGGCCTAGAGACGTTATACAGCGCACCAGTACTGAGAGTGGCTAGAGATAGGGCAGGATCTTATGGTATCAAAAGGGAACGGGAACAGCAGAAAGTAAGGTGATCATGTTGTTGTAGTGAACAAATGGAAGAAATTTTATTATTACAGTCGCAAGTCTGTTTTTTTTGCGTCTTCCTGACCACTTCCTAAAATTACTTCTCATAGCAACGGGATTGAGTAGATTAATGTTGACAGGAACCAAGATTGCACAATGGTTTCCCTTCACAGCGGGGGAACATTTGTATTTAGTAGTTGTTATAAATCTTGTAAATTTCAATGCAAGAAATCATTTTCCACACCTTATGGAAGGCTGAAGGGTGGTCTGTAGGGTCAAATGCCCATAAACAAAACATACTACAATAATTGAGCACCTTGGAACTAAGATTTCATTTAATTCGTCTATCCAGCCGTGGTGATAACTAATAACGCAAATTTTAGGGACTTTTAAATCAAAACAGAACTCGGCATTTTACCAAGATATATAAATGGAGATGCAGTAGCAGATACCAAACAAAAATGTCCGCTCAGATGACCACCATGAATCAGTTTAGTCTAGATCCCGCATCGTGCATCAAGATGACGGACAGTAGGCTTGACTGGACGCATGCATGCAACAGTGTGTAGCGATGAGGTGAGGTTCCTGTGAGGAACTGGAGCCTTCAGAAGACATCAAGCACAGTAAGGCGCAGTGAATGCCTAAAAATAGACGTAGCTACACCTTTTTATCGTGAAGACCTCACTCAAATCGATTTCCACCAGCTTGGACCACCACGAGGTTACCTCGAGGGTCAGTAGTTTAGTGGCATTAATGACGCGAAGCAGATTGTCCAAAAATGATTTAGTCGTAATGACAAATCTCCCTATGATTTAAATTACTTCTATGCATTAGGTAAATAATAGGATGAGTACTACAAAAACATGGTTGTAGTTCCTTCATAGGTGTGGATCCCTGGTATAAACCGAAACGCCCCAGTTTGGTTTAAATCACCTAGTACGTTATTGTGGGTTATGCGTATGCCCTCAACTGAGGCATAGATTTGGGGTACCCTTTTTCATTCTTCAATACATATAACGGGGAAAGTTTCAAGATCCACATAGGCATCAAAATGGCACTTCTTATTTGCATGTTACCACATGGATCCTTTTAGCCCTCTACAACTGACAAGGGGTTCTCCTCTTCCCAACTGCAGGCTTGTGATAAATAGGCCTCCCTAGACTTGCGTGTTTTGTGACGTCGTCTGTAGGGAGCAACCCAGGGGCTGCATTAGTAGCTGCGCAGTGGCACATATCTGTCATGATATAACAGCAGCCGCAGCTGGGCCAAGATATTTCTTAGGGTAAGTGGATGGACTGGCAATGTCTGTGTGGGGGGCTAAATCTGCGAAAACCTACAGAAAACGCCATTAATGGGTCGGCAATCATCCAAATTTGAGGTTTCAGATAAATAAAGTTGTTTTTGGAATAAAAAAGTGCAAACCATAAGTAAAATTAGAAAGTGCGTGGTGGAAAAAAGCACTGGGACCAAATAGAGCGCCATTCCTATGATGTGTCCTCCTGATGTCCCTTCAGCTGTGCATGGTAATGCAGCCCTCCTCAATGCAATGCTATTGAATATAAGTACCTTTTCACCACGATGGGAATCTTTGCATGTTCTTCGTTCCTCTCCTGGAAGGTTATTGAGATAGCCAAATTAGAACGATAGATACTCATGGCAAGCCAAAAGGCTAAAACGGAATTGGGTTACGATTTTACCATGGTTGCTATTTCTAATCTCGCGCTTTTTATGCAGCCGTCAGAAGTCAATTCAGGTGTTGGTATTTTGT